GGTATTTTAGCACCTCAAGAGATGTGATGGGTGGTCAGAAAGTAAAAGCTGTGTAAATTTCAAATTATCTATACCATAGTTTGTAGATGCTATAACTTCCACACAAAGCAATCAATGTACTCCTATTGGGATTTTTTTAACCAAAAACATGTAGCAGAATACATTTTGGCTTACATTTATAACTAACTTTGAATTTACTATATATTTTTTATAGCTGAAAAATGTTTTTCTTTTTCAAAACCCTGTGACAAAAATGATATCTGTAAAATACTCACCGTGCCTCTTATCAAATTCCTTGGGGTGTCTACTTTCCAAAAAGGGGTAATTTGGGAGGGGAGGTTGTACTGTCCTGGCATGTTAGGGCCTCCGAAACTATGAAAGGTAGTGAGGAAGTGGCATGACGAAAATATGCGCTCAGAAAGCCTGGAAGTAGTCATTGGATTTTTGGTGCCTGTATGTAGGTAAGCTGCCAAAAAGTCTCTTGCATGTGGTATTCCCATACTCGAGAGAAGTAGCAGAATGTGTTTCGGGGTGTTATTTGACATATAGCCATGGCATACGTGAGCAATATATCATTTAACCACTTGAGCTCCTGAGGATTTACCCCCCTTAATGACCAGGCCTTTTTTTGCTGTTTGGCGCTGCACTAATTCAAATGATAATTGTGCGGTCATGCAATGCTGTACCCAAACAAAATTTACGTTTTTTTTCACACAAATAGAGCTTTCTTTTGGTGGTATTTTATCACCTGTGCGCTTTTTATTTTTTTGCGCTATAAACACAAAAAACCACGAAAATTTTGAAAAAAAAACAATATTTTCTACTTTCAGCTATAAAAAATATATCGTAAACTCAAAGTTAGTCATAAATTTAAGCCAAAATGTATTCTGCTACATGTTTTTGGTAAAAAAAAAAATCCCAATAAGTGTATATTGATTGCTTTGTGTGAAAGTTATAGCGTCTACAAAACTATGGTATAGATACTGTAATTTATGCCTTTTTTTGCTATACAGCGCTGCACTAATTCAAATGATAATTGCGCGGTCATGCAATGCTGTACCCAAATGAAATTTACGTCCTTTTTTTCACACAAATAGAGCTTTCTTTTGGTGGTATTTGATCACCTGGGCGCTTTTTATTTTTTGCGCTATAAACAAAAAAAACCACAAAAATTTTGAAAAAAAAACAATATTTTCTACTTTCAGCCAAAAAAAAATATATCGTAAACTCAAAGTTAGTCACAAATTTAAGCCAATATGTATTCTGCTACATGTTTTAGGTAAAAAAAAATCCCAATAAGTGTATATTGATTGCCTTGTGTGAAAGTTATAGCGTCTACAAACTATGGTATAGATAATTTGAAATTTACACAGCTTTTACTTTCTGACCACCCATCACATCTCTTGAGGTGCTAAAATACCAGGATAGTACAAACACCCCCAAATGACCCCTTTTCGGAAAGCAGAACACCCTAAGCTATCTGCTGAGAGACATATTGGGGTTTTATTTACTAAAGCTGGAGAGTCCAAAATCAGACTCCCTTCTGCATAGAAACCAATCAGCTTTCAGGTTTCATTGCCAAAGCTTCATTGAACAAGCTGAGGTTAGAAGCTGATTGGTTTCTATGCAGAAGGGAGTCTGATTTTGGACTCTCCAGCTTTAGTAAATAAACCCCATGGTGTCCATGGAAAGATTTATTTTTTTTCCACAAGTTTCTGGAAAATGACAAACGTTTTTTTTTGGGTTTTTTTTTACACAAAATTGTCATTTAAATGATTTATTTCTTGCACAAGCCATGGGTATATGTGGAATTACACCCCAAAATACATTCTGCTACTTCTACCGAGTATGAGGATACCACACGTGTGACACTTTTTGGGAGCCTAGCCACATACAGGAGCCTGAAATCCAATGACCACTTTGAAAGCCTGAAGGTGCGTAACTTCATTTCACTTCCCCACTACCTATCACAGTTTCGGAGGCCCTGAAATGCCAGGATAGCACCAAACCCCCCAAATGACCCCTTTTTGGAAAGTAGAGACTCCAAGGAATTTAAAAAGAGGCATGGTAAGTATTTTTCAGATCTCATTTTTTCTCACAAGGTTTTGAAATATAAAAAAGAAAAGAAAAAATATGTTTATTTTCTTTCTTCATTTTCCAAAAAAAACTTGTGGCAACAAATGAGATCTTCAAAATACTTATCATGCTTCTTATCAAATTCCTTTGGGTGTCTACTTTCCAAAAAGGGGTCATTTGGGGGGGTTTGGTGCTATTCTGGCATTCCAGGGCCTCCGAAACTGTGATAGGTAGTCAGGAAGTATAATGAGGAAATAAAGCCCTTTAAAAGCCTGAAGGTGCTTATTGGATTTTGGGGTCCTGTACTTGGCTAGACTGCCAAAAAGTCTCTCATATGTGGTACCCCCATACTCAGGAGAAGTAGCAGAAGGTATTTTGGGGAGTAATTCCACATATACATACAGTGGGGATCGAAAGTTTGGGCACCCCAGCTAAAAATTTGTATTAATGTGCATAAAGAAGCCAAGGAAAGATGGAAAAAATCTCCAAAAGGCATAAAATTACAGATTAGACATTCTTATAATATGTCAACAAAAGTTAGATTTTATTTCCATCATTTACACTTTCAAAATAACAGAAAACAAAAAAATGGCATCTGCAAAAGTTTGGGCACCCTGCAGAATTTATAGCATGCACTGCCCCCTTTGCAAAGCTGAGACCTGCCAGTGTCATGGATTGCTCTCAACCATCGTCTGGGAAGACCAGGTGATGTCAATCTCAAAGGTTTTAAATGCCCAGACTCATCTGACCTTGCCCCAACAATCAGCACCATGGGTTCTTCTAAGCAGTTGTCTAGAAAACTGAAACTGAAAATAGTTGACGCTCACAAAGCTGGAGAAGGCTATAAGAAGATAGCAAAGCGTTTTCAGATGTCAATATCCTCTGTTCGGAATGTAATCTTAAATGTAAATGTTTCTTAAATGGCAGTCATCAGGAACAGTGGAAGTTAAAGCAAGATCTGGAAGACCAAGAAAAATATCAGACAGAACAGCTCGCAGGATTGTGAGAAAAACAATTCAAAACCCACGTTTGACTGCAAGATCCCTCCAGAAAGATCTGGCAGACACTGGAGTTGTGGTACACTATTCCACTATAAAGAGATACTTGTACAAATATGGTCTTCATGGAAGAGTCATCAGAAGAAAAACCCCTTCTACGTCCTCACCACAAAAATCATCGTTTGGACTTTGCAAATGAACATATAGACAAGCCTGATGATTTTTGGAAACAAGTTCTGTGGACCGATGAGGTTAAAATTGAATTTTTTGGCCGGAATGAGCAAAGGTATGTTTGGAGAAGAAGGGGCACAGAATTTAATGAAAAGAACCTCTGTCCAACTGTTAAGCATGGGGTTGGATCAATCATGCTTTGGGGTTGTGTTGCAGCCAGTGGCACAGGGAACATCTCACGAGTAGAAGGAAAAATGGATTCAATAAAATTTCAGCAAATTTTGGATGGTAACTTGATGCCATCTGTGAAAAAGCTGAAGTTAAAGAGAAGATGGCTTCTACAAATGGATAATGATCCTAAACACACCTCGAAATCCACGGGGGATTACATCAAGAGGCGTAAACTGAAGGTTTTGCCATGGCCTTCACAATCTCTTGACCTCAACATAATTGAAAATCTATGGATAGACCTTAAAAGAGCCGTGCGTGACAGACAGCCCAGAAATCTCAAAGAACTGGAAGACTTTTGTAAGGAAGAAGGGATCTGGGCAAAGATACCTCAAACAAGAATTGAAAGACTCTTGGCTGGCTACAAAAAGCGTTTACAAGCTGTGATACTGTCAGGAATGGACTAGCCAGCAATGGTGGGACTCACCTGCCTTTTGATCTGCAGTACCAGGGCTGGCCAGCGGGTGCTCCCAGCAATCAGAGACTCAACTTTGCAGCCAGCTAACACCTGGAACTGATTATGCTGGGGTATTTAAGGGATGGCCAGACTTACAGACTCTGCCTTGGTGTTGTGTTCTCTTGGGCCCTGTATCCTGTTCCTGCTCTCTGTTCCTGTCTGATTCTCTGCTGACCCTGCTCTGATCCCTGGCTTGTCTGACCATCCCTCTGCCTGACCCTCTGTATACTACGCTGCTTGCTACCTGTTCTGATCCCTGGCTTGTGACCCTGACCATCCCTCTGCCTGACCCTCTGTACTACGGCCTGCTTGCTACCTGCTGAACCTGGCCTGTGACCCCGACCAATCTCCGCTTGCTCCCCCTGTACCTACCTGCCCTATTGATATTGACCTGGCCTGCCTGACGACGCCTGCTTGTATGTACTGTTATCTGTGGGTGGTTGGTTTGGTTGCACTGTATTATGTTTTAGTATTGCACTGCGTTTATGTTTGTATTGTTAGTGTTAATAAATTATATTGTTTATAACATATCTGAGGTCTGCGTTTTCCCTGCGTCAGCCACACACCTCTGGTCACACCTGGGAGCCCTGACATTACACCAAGGCCAATCCTGACCAGAAGTGGCTGCACAGGGGAGCCATCTTGGCTTGTTGCTGGGAAGGATGGATCTGGATGAGGTTGTGTATTTATATCTGCTAGTGTTTGATGACAGGGAGTATGCTTATCAAACTCTGAAGGAGTATCCCAGGGATCAACTACTAGAATGTATACGGTGCTCGCTCATGTTCTAGTAGATCAGGGCACAGAGTTCTCTGAGGTGCAGCCTTTGATTGAGGTTTGTGCTGAGTTGGTTTCATCTGGTTCCCCCAAATGCAGGGATGAATTTTTGCCACCATTTAGTGCAGACCAGGTAGAGTCCCTGGTATGGTTATTAGAGGATGATGTGGGTTACTTTCTGGAGCGTTATTCCACATGTTCACCACAGACACTAAGAGATTGTATAAACGCAGTGCAGTCTTTGGTCAGACAGGCTTTGTGTAAGCTCAGCTTTGTTCAACCCCTACTGCAGACATGGACAGACTTGTTGCACCCAGCCTCAGTCAGCTTACAAAAACCCAGTCCTGCTTCTTCTAACTCTACTCCTGTATTCCCACCAGCTCCTCAGTTACAGCCCAGTATACTTGGCTATCTACCGCATGTCAGTACCCTGTTCCCACTCGCTGCACCTATCCTGCCTTTAACCATGTAAAAAAAGCCCTCTGTAGCAACTGCTCCCTCTCCTGTTCCATCCTCCAGTTTTTCTCTGTCTCCAGCTGCTCCATTCCTTTGCAGACCTGCGTTTACTTGCAGTGCTCCAGTAGTTAAAACCAGAAAAAAGCGAAAATTCTTTCCAACTAATACCATCCTGCCAGTATCCAAACCAGTAAACCTGCCTTCCGTGATTCAGCCTGAAAGCCTCTTCTACTCAGCCGGAAGCCTCTACTCAGCCGGAAAGCCTCTACTCAGCCGGAAGCCTCTCTTCAGCCTGATGCCTCTCTTCAGCCTGATGCCTCTCTTCAGCCTGATGCCTCTCTTCAGCCTGATGCCTCTCTTCAGCCTGATGCCTCTCTTCAGCCTGATGCCTCTCTTCAGCCGGATGCCTCTCTTCAGCCGGATGCCTCTCTTCAGCCTGATGCCGCTACTCAGCATGATGAACTGATCCAGCCCGACGATCCTATTAGGCCAGTTGACTCGATGCCCGCTGTTGATCCAGATGATCCGGTACCTGATCCAGTGCCCGCTGTTCGTGCCAATTGACTCAGAGCCCGCTGTCATACCTGGTGACCCGGTGCCCACTGCCTTGCCAGATGACGCGGTGCCCGCTGGCAAGCCAAATGACCTGATTGCCTGGTGACCCAGTGCCCGCTGTCATACCTGGTGACTCGGTGCCCGCAGTCTTGCCAGACGACTCGGTGCCCGCAGTCTTGCCAGACGACTCGGTGCCCGCAGTCTTGCCAGACGACTCGGTGCCCGCTGTTCCGCAAGTTGACTCGATGCCCGCAGTCTTGCCAGACGACTCGGTGCCCGCAGTTCCGCCAGTTGACTCGATGCCCGCAGTCTTGCCAGACGACTCGGGTGCCCGCAGTTCCACCAGTTGACTCGATGCCCGCTGTTTCTGCCAGTTGACTCGGTGCCCACTGTCGTGCCTGGTGACTCGGTGCCCGCCGCTTCGCCTGAGGGCCCGAGACCTGTCGCTCCATCTGGGGGTCCGGCGCCCGCCGCTCCGCCTGAGGGCCCGAGACCTGTCGCTCTATCTGGGGGTCCGGCGCCCGCCGCTCCGCCTGGGGGCCCGAGACCTGTCGCTCCGCCTGGGGGCCCCGAGACCTGTCGCTCCACCTGGGGGTCCGGCGCCCGCCGCTCCGCCTGAGGGCCCGAGACCTGTCGCTCCATCTGGGGGTCCGGCGCCCGCCGCTCCGCCTGGGGGCCCGAGACCTGTCGCTCCGCCCTGGGGGCCCGAGACCTGTCGCTCCACCTGGGGGTCCGGCGCCCGCCGCTCCGCCTGAGGGCCCGAGACCTGTCGCTCCACCTGGGGGTCCGGCTCCGGCTCCCGACCGCCCCGCCTGAGGGCCCGAGACCTGTCGCCCCGCCTGGGGGGCCCGATGCCTGTCGCGCCTGCCTGGGGGCTCGGTGCCTGTCGCCCCGCCCGGGGGCCCAGTGCCTGCCGCCCCGCCCGGGGGCCCGGTGCCTGCCGCTCCGCCCGGGGGCCCGGTGCCTGCTGCTCCGCCTGGTAATCCGATGTGCCTCTGCCCGGAGTCCTGCCCGATGTGCCTCTGCCCGGAGTCCTGCCCGATGTGCCTCTGCCCCGAGTCCTGCCCGATGTGCCTCTGCCCCGAGTCCTGCCCGATGTGCCTCTGCCCGGAGTCCTGCCCGATATGCCTCTGCCCGATGTGCCTCTGCCCGATGTGCCTCTGCCCGGTGTGCCTCTGCCCGGTGTGCCCCTGCCCGGTGTGCCGCTGCCCGGAGTCCTGCCCGGTGTGCCAGTCTTTGATATCCCGCCAGTTACCAGACCCGGGCGGTGGAACATTTTGCCCAGCTAGGACTGTTTGGAGCGTCCTGAGGCCGCTCCTTGGGGGGGGGGGGTACTGTCAGGAATGGACTAGCCAGCAATGGTGGACTCACCTGCCTTTTGATCTGCAGTACCAGGGCTGGCCAGCGGGTGCTCCCCAGCAATCAGAGACTCAACTTTGCAGCCAGCTAACACCTGGAACTGATTATGCTGGGGTATTTAAGGGATGGCCAGACTTGCAGACTCTGCCTTGGTGTTGTGTTCTCTTGGGCCCTGTATCCTGTTCCTGCTCTCTGTTCCTGTCTGATTCTCTGCTGACCCTGCTCTGATCCCTGGCTTGTCTGACCATCCCTCTGCCTGACCCTCTCTGTACTACGCTGCTTGCTACCTGTTCTGATCCCTGGCTTGTGACCCTGACCATCCCTCTGCCTGACCCTCTGTACTACGCTGCTTGCTACCTGCTGAACCTGGCCTGTGACCCCGACCAATCTCCGCTTGCTCCCCCTGTACCTACCTGCCCTATTGATATTGACCTGGCCTGCCTGACGACGCTTGCTTGTATGTACTGTTATCTGTGGGTGGTTGGTTTGGTTGCACTGTATTATGTTTTAGTATTGCACTGCGTTTATGTTTGTATTGTTAGTGTTAATAAATTATATTGTTTATAACATATCTGAGGTCTGCGTTTCCCTGCGTCAGCCACACACCTCTGGTCACACCTGGGAGCCCTGACAGATACTTGCCAAAGGGGGCAGTACAAGATATTAACTCTGCAGGGTGCCCAAACTTTTGCAGACGCCATTTTTTTTGTTTTCTGTTATTTTGAAAGTGTAAATGATGGAAATAAAATCTAACTTTTGTTGACATATTATAAGAATGTCTAATCTGTAATTTGATTCCTTTTGGAGATTTTTCCATCTTTCCTTGGCTTCTTTATGCACATTAATACAAATTTTTAGCTGGGGTGCCCAAACTTTCGATCCCCAATGTATGTCTTGTGTGAGCAATACATTATTTCAATGACAATTTTGTGTAATTTTTTTTTTTTTTTGTCATTTTCCAAAAACCTGTGGTAAAAAAAATAAATTCTTCTATTGATTCAACATGCCTCTCAGTAAATAGTTTGGGGTGTCTACTTTCCAAAAAGGGGTCATTTTGAGGGGTGGGGGCATTTTATGCCCAGCATTAGAAGTTTATGCCACACATCACTCATTCTTCTAACCACCTGAAGACCAAGCCTTTTCTGACACTTTTTGTTCACATTAAAAAAATCTGTATTTTTGCTAGGAAATTAAAGTGAACCCCCAAACATTATATATTTTTTTAGAGCAGACACCCTAGTAAATAAAATGGTGGGTGGTGCAATTTTTTATCTCACATTATTTACAGAGCGATTTTTCAAACGCAATTTTTTTTAAAAATATACACTTTTTTTAATTTTAATGCACAAAAACACAATATATTGGCCAATTATTTGGTATGATATAAAAGATGATGCTATGCTGAGTAAATAGATACCAAACATGACATGCTTTAAAATTACGCATGCCCTGTGCAATGGCGACAAACTGCATACATTTTTAATATCTATAGGCAATGCTTTAAAAGCCTTTACAAGCTACCATTTTAGATTTACAGAGGAGGTCTAGAGCTATAATTACTTCCCTTGATCTGACGTTCATGGCGATATTTCACATGCAGGGAGTAATCGCTGTTTCCATACTGGCACAGGGTCAACGGTCACGACTGCAGGTGTGCGCGTGCGCGGATGGGCGAGGGTTTTTTTTTTTTTTTTTTTCCTTCTGATTTATTTAATTATTTTTACTGTCCCTTTCATTTTTTTTTTTTTTAATCATTTTTAATGCTATCTCCCGCAGCTTGCAAAGGCAATCCTGCAGCTAATTAACCACTAGGAATGCTTTTACATGAAAGCCCATTGCTGGCTGAAAAAAATGATACCAGGATGATGCCTGCAGCATCACCCTGGTATAACCATTCAAAGCCCAGTGATGTACCAGTACGTCGCTGGTCCTTGTTGGGTGTATATGTTATGTTCTTTTTTTCTTTATGCAGCCTGTGGGCTGAATGAAAAAAAAAGAGAAGAAATCTCTGCCAGAAAGTGTGTGGGTATGCCCACCATTAGAAACCTCCCTGCATCCACCCACTTCTAATGGTGGGCACACATGAAATGTGCCAACAAATATAAAATATATCTGCCGAAGCATAGGGGCCATCCACCCACTGGCCACCCCAGGCCCCCATGCTTTGGCATATATTCTCTTTTTTTTTAACTGCGGATGAAAAATCTCATCCGTCAGCACTGCCCACACCTACTTATGTCTATTCTGAAAGCAAGACCCTGTTGCTGTCAGAATAGACAGGTCAGTGCTGCAGTTTGACATTCCTGCAAAGAAATCAACAATGGTTAACAATAAAACATAAACTCAATAAAACAACTTTATAATTGAAATATCTCTGCAAGGAAAAGTGTGTGGTGGTATGCCCACCATTAGAAACCTCCCTGCATCCACCCACTTCTAATGGCGGGCACACATGAAATGTTGCAACAAATATAAAATATATATGCCGAAGCATAGAGGCCATCCACCCACTGGCCACCCCAGGCCCCCATGCTTTGGCATATATTCTCTTTTTTTTTACTGCGGATGAAAAAATCTCATCCAACAGCGCTGCCCACGCTGACTTATGTCTATTCTGAGAGAAAGTTCCTGTTGCTGTCAGAATAAACAGGTCAGTGCTGCAGCTGAAAGCATTCCTCCAAACAGAAATGGTTAACAATAAAACAGTAACAATAAAACAGTAAAAGTAGAACAATCACAAAAATGACAACAAAAAAACCTAACTATTTTTGGTTTTTAATTTTTTTATTTTTTTGGGGGGGGGGGGGCATTTGTATTATTTTTTTTTTTTTTTTAACTTTTTTTTTTCAAACTTTAAACATTTTTAAAACAGCTGGTAGGGTCTCTCCAAATGCGATAGCCAGTTTCCTGACTACCTAACATCTTTCGAGACCCTGTGTAAATGTGCCCTGATCTGTGCCGTGCTGTACCCCATACTAATAGTCAACTAGTGTATGGTAGAGGCGGAAGCAGGACTTGACGCAGAGGCCAGGTTGGCCAGGACAGGAGGGAAAAGAATAGCGGCTGTCACGCCTATTTCCACGTTTGCTGCAGACACGACATCTTTTTTGGGGGGTCTTCTTTGGGTTGGGGTACCAGGAATGGTATCTGGAAAATGTCTCTCATGCAGACGGCTAACTGCATCTGGGAGAGGGGTTTGGGGCGCAGCACACTTCTGGATACAAAAGGGACCTGATGTTCTCTAACTGGAAATTTAGGTATGATCCACTATGTCCAGTTGCTTTATAGAGAACAAAAGCGTTATATACAGCCAATTGAAATAAATAAACTGACACTTTTATGTACCAGTGTTTGGCTTTTCGGGAAACTAAGTACGGCTTCATCATCTGGTCGTTGAAGTCCACCCCTCCCATGTTAAGGTTATAATCGTTGGACACAGAGGGGCTTCTCAACAACACCGGCTGCCGTGGTAATTTGGACGGTCGTATCTGCGTGAATGGAAGACAGGAGGTAAACATCCCGTTTGTCCTTCCACTTCACTGCGAGCAATTCTTCATTTCTCAAACAGGCTTTTCCCCCCTTTTTAAGACGGGTATTTACAAGCCGTTGGGGGAAGCCCCGGCAATTAGATCGCACAGTGCCACATGCGCAAATTCCCAGATTGAACAAATGTCTAAATAGTGGCACGCTTGAGTAAAAATTGTCCACGTATAAGTGGTACCCCATATGGAAAAAGGATGACGCCAAATCCCAAACTATCTTGCCTCTGCTCCCCATG